CAAAATTTAAAATTTTTACAATATAAAGTATTGTTGTAAAGATCAAAACAAAGTGGGGGGGCGCTTTATAACTTAAGAATTTACCAAATTGGTCCCTGATTTTTTAATGTTTTGTATTAAGAGATTGATTTTTTTAAAAAAAAAAAATAACAGTTTTAGTCGATATGAGTTTGGTGAATTGATGGCAAAAAATTCTAAAACAGTAAATGTTTCATTTTTGCATTTGACAGCATAAGAATAATGCTACAAAAAGCACAATTGGTCATTTTTTTTGTAATGAGAATTATTTTTTTCAGAATAAAAAAAAATTTGCGAAAAACGGTTGTTGTCAAAAAATTTTAAATTTTGAATCAGAAATAAAAAAAAAAAGAATATTCTAAAGTTTAATACAATCAAAAAGATCCTTGAATGTTTGGACCAATGACAAAGCTTTTTTTTAAGGTTTTTCACCATTCTTGAAATTCATTCAGCTATAAAACAGTAAACTTTTTGACCACTTTAATAAATGCCTAAAACGGATTATTTATAACGAAATAAGATGATTGGTGTTTTCCTTCATATTCGTCATAACACCATTCTTGTATGATAGGATAAGGAACAAATAAGAAACCTTTTTGAAAATCTAAATGTTAAAGCTTCATTTCGTTTCAGAATGAAATTTTTAAAAATGAAAATTCTGTTATTTTTAATCATTTTATGTTTTTTATTGAATTCATCAGAACCATGCATCTGTCTTTTGAAAACATTTATTTTACATTTTTCATGTGATATATGTGGCTCTTCTAATTTTTGTTTGTCTTTCATACTTCAGATGATGATGATGATATCACTTTTATGTGGTAACCAATTTTGATCTCCTGATTTTATCCATCTTTGAGGTTGCCCCTAATATTGATTTTTTTATGTTTTGTATGAGGGCAATATATATTTTTCATGTATGTAAAACTATATAAAAAAAAAAAAAAAAATTTGCACTTACAATTTTATATTTAACTTTCAGCACTTCCTCGTCCAAAGGCCATGTAAAACAAAATTTTGTTTTACATGAGAAGGTATTAAACATTTAAAATCTCATATGCCCGATCAAATATTGGTATCTATTAAAATTTCTTGGAATCATTCAGATCTGTGATGCCTTTGTTAGTTTTTATCATCTTTATTCTAAAATCAGAAAAATTCATTACTTAAATACAAGTATCAAGAAAAATGTTATGAAAATAAATATTTTTTATATATATTGATTCATATTTATATATCTTCAAATATATATATATTTATATGGATATATGATAATTTGAAGAAAAAAAAACAAAACAGAGTGAATGATGATTATAGTCTGAACATTAAATTTTTAAATAAAATTATTTAGTTTCGGTATTTCTAACATCTTCAGGTACATACTTTAAACTAAAGAATTTTTTAACTATTTTTTATTTAATATTTAAAATATTTAAAAAATAATTCAGAAAATGATGTTAAAGAAACAAAAACAAATTTCACCCCTATCAAAGCTAATTACATCAAATGCCATGAGGCAAAAAAAAAAAATCTTAGATTCCTTATATATAATGTTGATTAACTAAGTTTTATTTATAAAATTCTATATCTTGTATGAGAGAAATTTATAAATTGTTTACTGGTAAAATACAGGGTGTCCATAAAGTTTGTGTGCACTTTAAAAAATTATAACTTTATTTATATTTGCAATAGAAATAATCTATAAAAAATGTTATAAAGTTTAATGTAACTAGTTTTAAGTATAGCTAAAATAACTAATGTGATTTCAGGCATTACTCTAAATCAGTTGGCAAATGTTTTCCGTGAACGGCAAAATCGTATTACCCTTTGTATTGCTAATGATGAAGGACATGTGGAAACTTAAATAAAATTTCAATAAAACCTTAAAAACATATAGATTTACTTCTTTCTAATCGTTTTTACGAATTATTTCTATCGTAAATACAAATAGTTATAAATTTTTAAAGTGCACACGAACTTTATGGACACCCTCTCTCTCTCTCTCTATATATATATATATATATATATATATATATATGAAAAAATTTTTCTCACTGTTAACCTGTAGAAAAAGACAATATTTATAAATGTAAAAGACAATAGGAAAACTGTTATAGTTGCCGACGTTTCGTCCCATGTTGACTTTTTCAAAGCAAAATCGAAATGAAATTTATTAAACAAAGTTACTAATAATAACAAAACAAAATGTCCTTAGCAACTGGAAGAATTTAGAGAACGCTATTTTTTTACTGTTAAATGAAAATTACAAAATTACTGTCACGTGTCGAGATTTTTTTTGATTGATATACGTGTAATTAACGGATTCAACCATTTTCTTTTGATTTCTTGATACTGTTGTGTACGTTTGTTTGGGAGAGAAGCAATTCTGTTATGAAAGGTGAAATAGGGAAAAGACCTGGGCGTAGATTAATTTTTGGGTAATAGTCACAAACACTTCCAAAACCATTATGGATATACTCAGATCTTCAAACACTAATAGCAATAATATTTCTGAAGCAGGCATTTATAAAATAAATTGCCAAAACTGTTCCTCCCAATATGATGGAGAAACAAGTCGAAATAAAAAAAAAGCATTTATGAGCACAAAAGAGACCTCACAAAAAACAACTTACCTAATGCACTAGTCATACAGAGATATAAATTCAACTACAATTTTGATGTTAAAAATGCTACACTCATAAAAAAAGAAAATAACTGACTCAGAAGGAAAATCCTCGAGAGTGCCGCCATTTAATATTACCCATCGGTTGGTAGCGCTAACAACCTGATGAGACGTCTTTAGACGTCGAGACAAATATGCATTTTTGTCGTGGTAGCTTGCATCCTCCAATATAACAGTAAACGAAATGGATAATTAAAATCTCTTTCTTCTTATTATCATTATATATATATATATAATTTTTGTCCCCCCCCGCATGTTATATGACGTGTTCGGCGGAGGAATGGCGTATTCAATAATACTTATTTAAACGGTCATTTTTGACGGGTACTATGCTAATTCACATGACATATGAAATTTCAAAATTTTCAAATTTTTCAATAATACTTATTTAAAATGGTCACTTTTGACGGGTACTATGATAATTCACATGACATATGACTCGTTCAGTGGAGGAGGGGCGTATTCAACAAAGAATCGAAAATTGCTTTTTCCACTTCAAATTATTCATTATATAATATCCAAGTATTTTACAAAGAAAATTAGAGCCGATTACAAAATATTTCAAGCTAAATTCAGATTTATGTTTCGTAACCATGCAATGAGATGAGGTAACATAAACTGTAGATTTGTCTGTGGATTATCATTACATTATTGTTACAGAATTATAGTGAAATCCTTAAGGTTTTTTGTTAAAAGCAATTTTATATTTGGTCGTATATTATTTTAAAATATTTATTTTTACAGGTTTTATTTTTGAAATGGAATAAGATCATTCTAAATTTCAGAATTTTGTTATTGCCCATCAAAATGACTGGAAGAAAGCGATGTAAGAACAATAATGGAAAAAGATATGTTTATTGTATATAAAATACAATTGTGGCACAAGGCCAAAATAGAGAGGGGTTGAGGCTGGTCATCACTAACTATCTTATACCTAGCTAATCTGATTGACGACCCATTCACACATTACAGTTTCCACATTCACCTTAAGAATTCGTCCATCGCCAATCAATCCTCCATCCACCATAATACCGCATCCTCTCAAGGGGAAACCTAGAAAACGCGACCCCCATGCCTTAACAATTTAATGATAATAATTATATATATATACAATTCTAATTAATATAATTAGATGGAAAAGAAAGGTAACAAAGCGTAAACGAAATAGCTCCAGTTTGTTCGAATATAGCATCAAAATTTATATTATTTTTATTTATTTGTTATGTAACTAAATACATAATTGTCAACAATGTTTCCGTAAAACTTGATATTTCCTGTAATAAATTCTTAATAAATATTATTATTGATATTAATTTAGTTAATATGGAAATAAATAATCCTACATTTACAATTCCTTACAGTTAACCATGAAAATAAATATTGATCAAAACTGCCTAAAAAAATTTAAACGTGTTTCTCAAATGACAAAATTATCAAATGTTGAATATAGTCCTCCTCCGCCGAACGCGTCAAATTACCGTAGGAGATTTGAGTTTTGGGTTAGTTGTTTGTCACGACTAGTGTTGGAGAGGGTTTGTGGAAGACTTTCTATGGAAACGGTATTCTTTGAGTATGCATAAATTCCTGTTTAATCCTAGAATGTGCGAATTTATTTTAAAATCTTTCTTCATTCTTCCATTTGGTCAAAAAACCTAATAATATACAATATTAGTCTTATTATCAAATTTTGATTTCTCTCTCAAATTACTTTCACCGACCTATCATTATCTATCTATCTATCTATCTATCTATCTATCTATCTATCTATCTATCTATCTATTTTCTTCCTTTTTTCTATCTATCTATCTATCTATTAATCTATACATCTATCTATCTATCTATCTAAATTCTATTATCTTTATCATATCTATCTAACTATATCTTTCATTCATCTATCCATTATCTATCTATCTATCTATCTATCTATCTATCTATCTATCTCTATCTATCTATCTTCTCTTATCATATCTATCTATCGTCTATCTATCATATCTATCTATCTATCTATCTATTTCATCTATCTATCTATCTATCTATGAAATAAACTTCTCATATCATATCTATCTATCTATCTATCTATCTTCTCATATCTATCTATCTATCTATCTAAGGATCTATGCATCTTCTATCTATCTATCTATCTATCTAAGATCTCATATCTATTTATCTATCTCGTTTCTTCTATATATCTATCTATCTATCTTCTATCTATCAATCTATCTATCTATCTATCTATCTATCTTCTATATATATTCTTCTATCTATTGAATCTATCTAAAATTATCTAATATCTATTTATATGTTCTCATATCTATCTATCTATCTATCTATCTATCTATCTATCTATCTATCATGCTTTCTTTATGAGATGATGATAGTTCAAGATAAATTCTCATTTTTTAAACGTTTTGCAAACATGTAATGAAATTTTGCCAAAATAAAATTTCTGACAACGATTTTAAAATCTTTTGAACAATTTTTACGTTTACATACTAACAAAATCCGCGATAAGCTATTGACATAAATATTTCATGTCGGACGGGAAGAAAAAACAATTTAATTTGCTTAAAAATTTGGGGAATGGGCCACACATTATTTAAAAAAAAAAAAAAAATGATGAAAGAATTAATAAAGAAAATGGCGTGACGTCATCTTGCTCTTCAACAGATTGATTAATTTGGTCTGCCGGCTGAATCCCTTTTATCTTGAGCGCCACTTCAGAATCTTCTTAAAAATAACAAACTGTTAAATAAATTTCTTCTGCGCATATCAAATAATGATATAAATTCAACATTTCTTTGAAAAAAAACTCGAAAACTCACCTTCAAAAAAACGATTAAATGATTCACTGACATGCGGAAAATCATTAAATGGATGCAAGCAGTTTCAAATATGTGATTTATTTATATATATATATATATATATATATATATATATATATATATATATATATATATATGAATTGTGTGTGTGTTTGTTTGCGAGCGTTTAAAAAATTTAAATATAGACAACATAAACAAATGTATTCCACATCTTCAGACATTCACATAAAAATATATATATTTATATATTTTTCTATTAATTTATAGACTTAGAAATCCAAACACATTCACACACACACACACACACATACATTAGCATATATATTATAAGTACATACATAAATATAATCATGTATATATATATATATATATATATATATATATATATATATATTATAGTTTTCATAAGTATATAGATACATAAACAAATGTAACTATATATATATATATATATATATATATATATATATATATATATATATATATATATATATATATATAAAATAAATATTTAGACAAAAATAAATTTATAATATATATACCTATATGTGAACATAAATATATATATATATAATATATATATAGGAAAATATATAATATATAACAAATATATATTAATAAAAAGCTGAATATAATCATATATATATATATATATATATATATATATATATATATATATATATATATAGTCTTATATACATATATCATGTAAATTATAATTTATAGACATTCTTCATGGTATGAATATACATACATACATATATATATATAAAAAATATATATATATACATACATACATACATATATATATATTTAAATTATAAGTCTATTTCTTGTATAATCATGTTTTAAATATTATAACATATATATATATATATATATATATATATATATATATATATATATATATATTCACACAAACACACACACATATGTATGTATAAATACACACACAAAAACACACATATGTATGTATTACACACACACACACACTCACACACACACAAACACACATATATATATATATATATGTGTGTTTATAGAAATCTAAGGAATAAAAAAATCTCTTGCATGTGTGGCATTACTTCCATCTTTTTTTTATAGACATTTCATTTTTCAACCGCCCCTCTTTTAGTGCAACTCTACCCCCTCAAGGCACTTTATATATTAACCTCCGTGTTGAGTCTGAAAATTCAAAACAAATTCAGGATTCTTTTCTTATCAGAACGATCAACGTGGGTTTTCCGAATACATTTTTCTTTTTTTCTTTAATACCTTCTTATTTTTTTTAAAAAATTTTTCATTTTCTAGACACTATATATATATATATATATATATATATATATATATATATATATATATATATATAAAAAAAAAAATAACCCCCAAGTCAAGGTGTGCCACTAGCACGTTCAAGGGGCTACAGAAAAGTAAGAGAAAAAGACTGGGTACAGAGTTATTTCTGTTTTTAAAATTAATAAAATGAAGAACGAGGATCAAGGCAACAGAAAGACATTTTTTAAATTTTTTTGAACATTATAATTATCAGTGAAGCATTTGGAAGTAAGAGGAATAGTTTTCAACTGTCAGGAAGTGCAAGAAATTTTGTTGGAGTAAAAAAACACAATTTAACTGTTTCGACAGTAAAGGTTGGGACCGAATATGCCAACCTAGTATTATAATAAATTCATGCAGTCAGGGCACCAGTGAAAATAGCTCGTTGAAGCAGATGCTTGAAAATATTTATAGAAAAGACAGAGGGAAGCCACATTACGACGGTGAGAAAGTGACTGCAGTCGAGAATCTTTCCTTAGTACCTTCTAGGCCGGTTGGTTATATTAAATTCCCTGTTTAAATAAAACAAAACAAAACATTATAATGCAATTTACTGTTCATGGATAATTAATGAAGGAATCGGAGAAAACAGTTCGAATTTGAAAGAAAAGATTTTAAATTCATTTTTTGTCTAAACATTCGTCCTCCTGTGAAAATTTCTCCAGTAAAATAAGTTTAATACTGTTTATAATAAATAAGAAATTTTACTTAAATATTTGTATCTATAAAAAGAATATTAAACATAAAAACGTCTTAAAATAATTGTCGGACTTTGTCCATTTCATAATATATATATATATATATATATGCTAGCAGTAGAGCCCGGCGTTGCCCGGGGATGTAACAGTAAGAGATAGATCAAGTATCAACCATCATAAAGACTGAAAAATAAAATTGACAAAGATTATTGTTTAAGGTTGACGGACACGCATGTCTTAATTAGTTTTATTTTTTTTTTTTTTACGAATTGGTCAAACCCAAACTCAAACAAAACATTGTTTTCAATCGTTATGAGTCTATCGATTGAATAGAATTTTATTATAAACAATTGTCTTGTAAATGGAATTTTTTAAAGCATTCTGAATGTAAAAATAAAAAAAAAAAGTGTGCAAGACAATAAAAACACTACCTGCCAAAAAAAAAATGTGAAGTTTTGTTGAAATCAGTTGAAAAATGTAGGAAATCCGATCCCATATATAAACGAACACACACACACACACACACACACACAACCTGGGTTTTTATAATAAGTATAACTCGATAACTCGATATTAGTATAACTCGTCCCCTTTCATTCTCGCGATGCCTCTTAATCGTGTTTTCAAATTGATTTCGTGCAAAAACAATTGTGTTTTTGCAATTTTTGGTGCTGTCAGAACCACCGTAAGGTATTTTCCCTTCGTCCTGTGAAGTTTTGTTGAAATCGGTTGAAAAATGTAGGAAATCCAATCCAATATATAAACGTACAGACACACACACACACAACCTGGGTTTTATAATAAGTAAGATACATACATATATATATATATATATATATATGTGTGTGTGTGTGTGTGTGTGTGTGTGTGTGTAAATATATTGAAAAATATATGCTGTAATGCCTTGAGATACGAAGTTTAATCTGTTTCAAAACCGAGCTTGTAACTCAAAAGATTCGTATCTCAAATCAATTTTCCCCATTGAAATTAATGGGAATATTTCCGATCTGCTCGATACTCCGAAGAATTCGCCACTTCTCTTTACACTAAACTTTCTTCGGACCCATGGTGCCACTAAAGGAACCGATTTTTTTTTTTTGACCGATTTCTATGAAATTGTACGCACGTAATGCAAATTTATTAATTTACGTCAAGACCACCTTTTTAACCTCCAGACCTTGGATTTAGCAATAAGTCGATAAAACTGCAGATGGATACGATTTTTTTTCCCAAAAACCAAGGCAAAATTACCCGAGAACAAAATTTTTACTGGATGAGCTGATGTTTTTTTTATTCAATGCAAAACATAGATCATGTTACAAGGTTTATGTAGATCGTTTGATAGTTTTCCTGCAACTTCGACTATACACAAAAAAAACTGTGAAAAATCGGATTTTCCTACTACTTAAAATAAAAACTTATATGTTTCTCATTTTTTGTTATATATATATATATATATATATACTAGCAGCATGGCCCGTACGACTCATACAGCAATCGCTATCACTTGACTTAAAATATTTTTGCCCTTCCTTGCCTTTAAAGGAGTGCCCTTTGCCGTGCTGATGTTGCTACATGCCTTACTTCTTGCCTATGTCACACTGCGAATTTTTTCTAAGCTCTATACTAAACATTAAATCTGTTACGAAAAAAGTACTAAACAAAATGAACACAAAACGATCAGCTTTAAAAAAGATTCCGTAACTGGAAAAAACGAATGAAAAAGAATGTTAACAACAAATACTTTTTCAATATCCAACCCAGTTCTGCGGAATCAGAATCAACGTTGAGTTTAAGCAAGTGAATGAGCCAATTGGAGTAAAGTGCCATGCAGATTTAAATTTTTCCCACTTGACGAATGCAGCTATCGACTTTTTTGCATGCTAGCATGCTAGTTAACATTCGTGTCAGTCAGCCATTGGCTCTCAAGATGAGCCAATAGAATCTTCTTGCCTATTCGTGGCAGCCAGCTATAAAACTTACTCTGGTCAGTGAAAATGGCCGCAAACTACATGAAAACTGCCGTAGAAGCATGAAAAAATCGTTTACTTCCACTATCGATGGGAGTTGGGAACTGCAAAGTCAGTCTTGGCCTTCCCGCTAACTTGGAGCATGTGCATGTCAATTTTGGTGCAAATCCGTCGAAAATTGCGGCCGTGCATTCGTTACACACAACACACACACACACACACACACACACACACACACACACACACACACACACATCCTGCCTTTTATAGATAGAGATAATAGTTCTGTACTATTTTCGTTCTTTCTAATGTAATTCTCAATGAATATCCATTCCTGTTATATTGGCATGTGTGCGTACTTTGCTATCGGTACATATCCAAGAAAGTATCCACACACACATAATTCACACACACACACACACACACACACACACACACACACACACACACACACACACACACACACACACATCCATATATATTGTATATATATATATATATATATATATATTTAGGACATTTTTATGTTTATACGTTCTTTTTATAGATAAAAATAATTAAGTAAATGCTCTGTTTATAATAAACAGTATTAAGCAACATTCTGAGCTTTTAGTTTCCATTTTTGAAACATGGTTAGAACTGTGTAGCGAAAAAAAACATATTCTAAATCAATTAATTTATAATATTAATGCTCTGTAAATTTACAATGAGCACTATTTTGTAAAAATAAGAATATCTATAAGAACACCGGATTATATATCTTACTGTTCTTTATATATATATATATATATATATATATATATATATATATATATATATATATATATATATTTCATTGAAGAAGACTGACGAGGTACTGCGATTAAGCCTTTTATTATTTTTTTTGCATTATATATATATATATTTATATATATATATATATATATATCAGTGGTGAAGGTTGACTTGGGAACCAGGGCACGCAGTCCATTATGCAGGTTAATCGCCAAATAAGCAGAAGTAAAAGAAAAACCATGCTCTTCACCCCCCGAAAATTATTTGCCTCCCCCACAACCATTTGTGAATGTGATGTGAGAAAATACACTTCTACCAACAAGGTCCGCTTATTTTGGTTTAATCTTGTTCCCAATTCATCAAATTAACAGTTTCTCTTTTAACGAGACCTAGACATTTTAATTTCAATTTAAAAAAAAAAGAAGTTTCTTATCACTTGACGACAGGTGTCAGAAAATGGCGTTGATTAATGACTGGAAAAGTGAACATTCTTAATTTTGACATAAACTAAATTAATATTGTTTTAATTTAAATTGTTTTAATTAACTAAATGTTCTTTTATGATAAAGTTCAACCTTTCTTTAAAATAACACAAACATTAACATATGCAATTTAAATTTAAATACTTTTAATTTGACTTTAAAATTAGTTGTTCCATTGATTTGTAAAAAAATGTCCTTTAATAAAATTTAACATGCTTAAGAATATAAAATATTATCAAGGAATTTTTAACATAATTTAAAAAAAAAACAATTTTGAACATTTAAAATTAACTCTTAAGACATTAAAAGGGATGAAACTTACCTTTTAATCCCAAAAAATAGACTTCGCCAGTTGATCCTTTTCGTCTCACGTATGAACCGGTTAAAAACTTTCTGGGTAATGATCACATGACTGAATTTAGGTCTTAAGAAGGGGTCAAGAACACTGTGTGGGTTAAAAGTTTCTAAAAGTCAGTAAAAAAAAAAGAACATTTGATGTGACACTAAAATCATGAAACTGTCTCTATATATTCTCTAGAACAGAATAATATATATTTTTCGTTTAAATCTTTCCGACTAAGTTCTTTGAATAGGCAAGCCTTTCAGACGCACGCAATAAAAACATCATCGCTTCAGGGGAGAGTGTTTGCTGGATTAATGCGGGTGGAAAGCAAGCAAAAGAATTTCTGCATTTCGGTGACTTTTTCTATGTGATCCCCACCCTACTGTTATTATTCTGTCTCTATTTTTTATGCAACCAGCTTAGACAGAATAATAAAATATGGGAGGTTAAAGTCTAAAGCCACGGGCTTTTCTAACGCAAGAAAAACAAATTGAGCAAGGAACTTCAGTTGTCTTTTCCTGATTGAGTATGTATTCGTTCTGTCGCCATTTTCTTTAAGACTTCCTTGATGTTTACTCTGATCAGTTCATGGAATTCTCAATATCCTCATGTAGAACCACATTTTTGCTGATTCTATTTTTTCTCACATCTTTGGGGAAATTGTCCAACATTCAGTGCCATATGAAAGGATGGATACCACATAGCAATCCAACACTCTTTTTTTTTGTTTCTAACGAAATATTTCCGTTCTTCAGTGCCTTGCTTAGCTTTTGAAATGCCTCTTTCGTTAGCCCAATGAGTGAGGAGTAAGAAACGGTCTTCAGGGAGACGGGCGATGGCGACTGACGTTACATTTAAATGTTTGAAGATTGTCCACGGCGGGGAAGCAAGAGAGTTCCACGCGTGAGAAGTGCGAGAAAAGATACTATCAGAATAGAACTTACGGCGACATATCGCTAGTTCAACAGTAAAACGACGAAACCTAATTACCAATCTAGTAGAACGCTTAAATTCATGCAGTCGAGGAAACGCTTCCGGTCAAGTGTCTCGGTCCCCTCCGGTCCGCGCGGGAGGAGATTCTGGCCAAGCGATTCCATCCATTTCGAGCCGCGAGGAAGGAACTTCTGGCCATGTGTCTCTGTTCCCTTCGAGCCGCGAGAAAGGCACTTCTGGCCGAGTTCCTTTAGAAAAGGCGAGAGAGGTGCTTTTGGGCAATTGTTTTAGTCCCCTTCGATCCGGGAGAGAGGAGCTTCTGGCCATTAGACTCTGTTCCATTCTAGCCGCGACAGAGCCGCTTCTGGCCAAGTGTATGAGTTCTTGTCGAGTCTGGATGGAGGCGCTTCCGGCCAAGTGTCTCAGTCCACTTCGGGCCTGAATGGAGGCGCTTCTGGACAAGTGTCTAAGTCCTCTTCGAGCCGCGAGAGAAGCGCTTTTGATCAAGTCTCTCTCCCCTACGAGCCGTGTAGGGGGCGCTTCTGGCCAATTGACTCAATTCACTTCGAGCCGCGAATGTGTATCTTTTGACCATGTGTCTCAGTTAACTTCGAGCCGCGAAAGAGGCGCATCTGGTCAAGTGTCCCAGTCGCCTTCGAACCGGGTGGAAAGCTCTTCTGGTCAAACTGACTTAGTCCTCTTTGAGTCGGTAGAGAGGTGCTTTTGGCCAATTGTCTCAGTCCTTTTTTAGCTAGAAGAAAGGAGGTTCTAGCCATGTGTCTCGCTTCCCTTCGAGTCGCGGGAAAGGCACTTCTGGACAAATGTCTCAGTTCCCTTCGAGCCGCGAGAGAAACGCTTCTAGCCAAGTGTCTCTCTCCTGTTCGACCGCGCGGGGGGATCTTCTGGCCAAGTCTCAGTCGCCTTGGAGCCGCGCTGGTGTCTCTTCTGGCCAAGTGACTTAGTCCTTTTTCGAGCCGCAGGAGAGATAGTTTGGGCCAATTATCTCAGTCCCCTTCGATCTGCGAGAGAGGAGCTTCTGGCCATGTGTCTCTGTTCTCTTTGAGCCTGGGTGGAGGCGCTTCTGGCAAAATATCTCAGTCGCCTTCGAACCGCGCTGGATTCTCTTCTGGCCAAGTGACTTAGAACCCTTCGAGCCTCGGAAGTGGTGCTTTTGGCCACGTGTCTCCGTTCCCTTTGAGCCGTGAGCGAGATGCTTCTAGTCAAGTATCTCAGTCCCCCCTCGAGCCGCGAGAGAAGCGCTTCTTGCCATGTCTCTCTGTCGTCTACCAGCCGCGAAGGTGGTGATTTATGGCCAAGTGATTCAGTTCACTTCGAGCCACGAATGTGAAGCTTCTGGCTAACTTTTCCCTTCGAGCCGCGAGAGAAACGCTTCTAGACAAGTGTCTCTGTTCCGTTCAAAACATGCGGGAGGCACTTCTGGCCGAGTTCCTTTAGAAAAGGCGAGAGAGGTGCTTTTGGGCAATTGTTTTAGTCCCCTTCGATCCGGGAGAGAGGAGCTTCTGGCCATTAGACTCTGTTCCATTCTAGCCGCGACAGAGCCGCTTCTGGCCAAGTGTATGAGTTCTTGTCGAGTCTGGATGGAGGCGCTTCCGGCCAAGTGTCTCAGTCCATTTGATTTTGCCTGAATGGAGGCGCTTCTGGACAAGTGTCTAAGTCCTCTTCGAGCCGCAAGAGAGAAGCCTTTTGATCAAGTCTCTCTCCCCACGAGCCGTGAGGGGGCGCTTCTGAGAAATTGACTCAATTCACTTCGAGCCGCGAATGTATCTTTTGACCATGTGTCTCAGTTAACTTCGAGCCGCCGCGAAAGAGGCGCATCTGGTCAAAGAGAATTCCCAGTCGCCTTCGAACCGGGTGGAAATTCTTCTGGTCAAACTGACTTAGTCCTCTTTGAGTCGGTATAATTGTGCTTTGGCCAATTGTCTCAGTCCTTTTTAGCTAGAAGAAAGGAGGTTCTAGCCATGTGTCTCGCTTCCTTCGAGTCGCGGGAAAGGCACTTCTGGACAAATGTCTCAGTTCCTTCGAGCCGCCGAGGAAAAACGCTTCTAGCCAAATGTGTCTCTCCTGTTCGACCGCGCGGGGGGATCTTCTGGCCAAGTCTCAGTCGCCTTGGAAGTCGCGCTGGTGTCTCTTCTGGCCAAGTGACTTAGTCCTTTCGAGCCGCAGGAGGAGATAGTTTGTGATATCTCAGTCCCCCTTCGATCTGCGAGAGGGGCTTCTGGCCATGTGTCTCTGTTCTCTTTGAGCCTGGGTGGAGGCGCTTCTGGCAAAATATCTCAGTCGCCTTCGAACCGCGCTGGATTCTCTTCTGGCCAAGTGACTTAGAACCCTTCGAGGCCTCGGAATTGGTGTGCTTTTGGCCACGTGTCTCCGTTCCCTTTGAGCCGTGGGCGAGATGCCTCTAGTCAAGTATCTCAGTCCCCCTCGAGCCCAAGCGAAGATGGAGCGCTTCTTGCCATGTCTCTCTGTCGTCTACCAGCCGCGAAGGTGGTGATTTATTTTCTAGCCAAGTGATTCAGTTCACTTCGAGCCAATGTGAAGCTTCTGGCTAACTTTTCCCTTCGAGCCGCACCAGAGAAACGCTTCCTAGACAATTTTAATGTCTCTGTTCCGTTCCCCAAAACATGCGGGAGGCACTTCTGGCCAAGTTTCTGTCGCCTTCGAGCCGCGTTTGGTTCTCTTCTGGCCAAGTGACTTTTCGAGCCGCAGGAGAGGTACTTTTGGCCAATTATCTCAGTCCCCTTCGATCTGCGTGTTTCGCTTGGCCTTGTCTTTCAGTCCTGTACATGGCCGCGCGGTGGTAATGACCAAGTGATTCAGTTCACTTCGAGTCGCGAATGTGGAGCTTTTGGCAATGTGTCTCAATTCCGTTCGACCCGCGCAACTCATACAGCAGGCGTTTTTTTATATTTTGCCCTTGTCTTTAGTGACTCCAGTACCCTTTGATTTTGTCCGTCGCGCAGAGATATCAACAAAAATGCATCAACAACAAAAACAAATTTACACGAATTACCTCGTCAGACTCTCTGATTCACATCCTTCTCTGCCCCCGCTAACCAGTGAGGAGAAAGGGAATACTGAGAGATCACGACGATCCCAGTGTTCGGATGCGAGCAGGTGCTGACGACGATTTACATATATTGTCAGAAAGTTGCTAGTATGTTTATTACTTCAATTTTAAAGGGGGGGGGCTTACAATCTTGCTTGAGAGAATTTGTTACGTTCCTTTCCCACGTTAAGAAAAAAAAATTCTACTTGTTGCACACTGAACGTATCAAGTTACAAAGCTTTAAACTTTATAATTGTCTTCTAAGTGGTCAGATTATCCGGCTAAAACAGATCTGTCCGATACGCAAATAGAAGTAGTGGAGAATAATAATCTCAAATTCAGTATAAATTCATCTCTCACGGATTCCAAAAAAATGTATGTAGAGTCCATTTAGTTACGCTGTTGTTCATCCAATATAAAGCACAACGACAACTCAAATGGTAATAAAAAAGGAGTTGACCGTATTTTTGATCATCGAGTCAATGCGAACAATCCTTTCCTCAGCTGCAACGTTTGTACTTCACCAGGGCTACATACAGTTTTGAATTCATGGTTTTCCTTCTCCTAGACGGGTTGCCACACAAGGCTATAGAACCAAGTCTATCCTGCTGTCCATAATATGTGTTTCCCCAGGGCTAATATACACTTATGAATTCAGCGTTTTCATTCTATTAGACCAGTTGCCAGACAAGGCTATAGAACCTAGTCTGTCTTGCTATTCATAGTACGTAATTTGCCAGAGGTACATAAAGATTTGGATTCAGACGTTTCCTTCTCCTAGACCGGTTGCCACACAAGGCTATAGAAGTCTGTCCTGCTGTTCATAATATGTGTTTTCCCAGGGCTACATACAGTTTTGAATTTAGAGTTTTCCTTCTCCTTGACCGGTTGCTACTCAAGGCTATAGAAACCTGTATGTCCTGTTATTCATAGTATGTGCTTCCCCATGACTACATAGAGTTTTGAATTCAGCGTTTTCCTTCTATTAGACTGGTTGCCACCCAAGGCTATAGAACCCAGTCTGTCCTGCAATTTGTAATAGTGATTTTCTAAGCGCTGCTTAGATGTGGCACAAGGCCGGAAGTATGGAGCACAGAGTGAGAATCGAACTCACTACTCAGTCGTAGTTCTAGCGAATTTATCAGCTTTTTAACCATTACACCACGCCGAGGTGCCCAATCATTTTCTAAGCGTAGCTTAAATGTAAAATGCCGATAAATTGAGGCACCCAGTGAGAATTTCAAATTACTCACTTTCAGTCGTAACTGTTTTAGCGGATTCCAACGCTAACCATTACACCACACCGATATGCCCCAATATCATGTAATATATTGCTACGCCAGGGGTACATAGGGTTTTGAATTCAGAGTTTTCCTTCTCCTAGAGTGGTTGTCATCTAAATCTATAGAACCCAGTCTGACCTGCTATTCGTAGTATGTAATTTTCCAGAGGTACATAAAGATTTGGTTTCAGAGATTTCTTTCTTCTAAACCCAGTGACTATCACCAAGATTATCTGTTCTGCTATTTAATGTTTTTCTGTGGAATGGACATAAAAGTTGAATTCATACCTTTTTCAAGGGTTTTAGCACATAAAAGAATGTAATTCTTTGACTCTTACTATAACTATCCTTTTTGTTTCCATTTTCATTAAAACTTCCTCGTTAGTCACATGTCCTGTACATGGCATTCTCAGTATACTTTCATAGAACCAGCATTCTGTTGTCTCATATCTTTTCTTCATTTGTGATAAGACTGTCCAGCATTCAACGCCATATTGAATAGACATATATTACATATGATACCAATTTCATGTCCCGGCGTTGCCTGTGCTTGATTCAAAAATCGTACAACTCATACAGCAATCGCTATCACTTGACTTAAAATATTTTTGCCCTTCCTTGTCTTTAAAGGAATGCCCTTTGCCATGCTGATGTTGCTACATGCCTTACTTCTTGCCTATCTCACACTGCGAAATTTTTTCTAAGCTCTATACTAAACATTAAATCTGTTACGAAAAAGAACTAAACAAATCTAAAAAACGATCAGCTTTAAAAAAGGACCGTAACTGGAAAAACCGAATGAAAAAAGAATGTTAACAACAAATACTTTTCACACCCAACCCAGTTCTGCAGAATCAGAATCAACGTTGAGTTTAAGCAAACGAATGAGCCAATTGGAGTAAAGTGCCATGCAGATTTAAATTTTTCCCACTTGTGACGAATAAAAGCTTTTTTTGCATGCTAGTTAAGTTCGTGTCAGTTAGCTGTTGGCTCTCGCTGGCCAATATAATCTTCCTGCCTATTCGTGGCAGACAGCTATAGGTTTCACCTCTGGCCAGTAGAAAATGGCCGCAAACTACATGAAAACTGCCGTAGAAGCATGAAAAAATCGATTATTTCCACTATCGATGGGAGTTGGGAAATGCAAAAAAGTCTTATTCTTGGCCTTCCCACTAACTTGGAGCATGTGCATGTAAATTTTAAGTGCAAATCCGTCGAAAATTGCGGTCGTTCATTCATTACACACACACACACACACACAAATCCTGCCTTTTATATATATATATATATATATATATATATATATATATATATATATATTGTAATTCCCATTTAATAAAAAAAAATCTCTCTCAATTACTGTCACACAGGTTGAATGTGACAAAACTATCATATTTATTCCATGGAAAAACATCTTGGACGAACTACATTTCTTGGTTCTGCTAAAAATTCAAACATTTATATAATTTATTTTTTATATCATTTCCCCCCCTGTGTTCCATTGGTTGAGCAATCTCATTTCCCGAACCACCAACACAAAAAATTGTTACGATCTTTTTCATTAGTTCTCTTTATTTGACCTTTCCACCAGGTCTAACCTTCACGGCTATGACCCGCAATGCCACTTACATAGTAACAAACCACCCTCATTGCCCCCGTATTCCATCGGCGAAAAGTGTTCCGCCGCGCGAACAACTGCTCTGTAGAACAGACTTTCAAGAAGATTTTTCGCAGATCACTACAATCTTAAAAATAATTCTAGTCTAGGGTTAACCGTTATCTTCCTCTCTTATCCGCACAAGCTGCATATAGGTGGAACAACTACATTGAATCAATAGCTGCATCTATCGCAAGGAAAGTTGCTTCTCTGTGTCGTTTTTCTCGTCTGAATACCTCCTTCAAATCTACAAATCTACCATTCGTTCTTGCATCGAATAAAGTTGCCATATATGGTCTGGTACCCACGCTGTCTATCTCGAGGTTCCGACAAAGTCCAGAGACTGATATGCAATGTGATAGGTCCAGACCTGGCATCTAAACTCCAGCCACTTTCTCACAGATGGATGTGGCTTCCCTCTGTCTTTTCTACACATATTTTCATAGCAACTGCCCTGACGACCTATTTTCACTGGTGCCCGATTGCATAAATTTAAATTTATAGCGCGCTACTGGGTTGGCATCTCAGTCCCTCTCACTGTCGAAACAGTTAAATATAACTGCCTTTTTTTACTCCAGCAGTTTCGTTTTTTGCACTTCCTGACAGGGGAACTCCCTTCCTCTTACTTGCTTCCCTGATAACTATAATCTTCAAATGTTCAAATGTAATGTCAATCGACATCTTATGATGTCTTAAATCTTGATCCCCGTTCTTCTCTTTCCTCAGACACCCCTCTTTACTCTTGCTCTCACTCTCTGTAACCCCTAAGTGCTTGGGAAAATATATAATGAAAAATTACATTTGGGGAGAAACTTAAAAAAAAAAAAGAATTAAAATGTAGTTCTAATCCGTGTGGCCACTATTTTTTTTATATTATTAAAATTGCAAATTATAATTTATAAATTCATGAATCATTCATGCAAAAAACAAATATAGAGGTTAATGATTTAAATGGCGAGAATACATCTTCGCAAACAATTTCAATAAGGTACATCAACCCCGAACCTGTATATGAATGATATGATCCCTGTTTATAAATTCCAGTTGCATAAGGTTTTTTTAAGTTTTTACGAGCTTTCGTCTGTTCCTACAGACATCCTCAGGTATGGAAATAGATTTGTTCTTGTTTTTTACTTCTCGGTAATAAGAGGACAATGAAAATATAGATGTAATCCGAAAAAATGCTATGAGAAATGTGTTATTATTTTGGAACGTGCGGTCACAATGCTGAGTTTGAATTTAAAATTTTAAGGGTGTGTTTTTGTACAAATATAGTAATAAGAGAATTCTTTTTTAACTGGTAGGTTTTTTCTAATAATGTTGATTATGAACTATATTGTTCAATAATTACAGAAATTAAACGAAAATTTTTATCCGAAAGTTGCACGTTGGATTTTTTATTTTAATTTTAATTATAGGTGCTTTCAATTTATATATATATATATCATTCAATATATAAATAAATATATATATATATGTTTAAATGGTCGAACCGGTATCTTCGTGAAACAATTTCTTAAATAAATACTAAAAGATTATCACGTTCATCATAATTGTTAATGATGAAATTTATTTTTGTAAGAAAAATGTTTTTTTCGCCTTTAAATCATTAAAATCGGTCACATTCAGATTTTTTTTATTCTCAATGATTCATGAATGATTCATATTCATTTTATATATATATATATAAGCATTTTGTAAATGGATATAAAATCCATTTGGAAATGAATAAATTTTAAAATTCCAAAATAAATCGCATTTAAGTTAAATTTTTAATTGTTTTTTTTTTTTTTTTTTTATAATATTTATATATATATATATATATATATATTCATATATATATATATATATAGATATATATTAATTTTGGATAGATTTAATAAAAACCTACCTGTGATGTCATGGAGAACAGAAAAAGTAAAATAAAAAAAGATCTCCGAGAATCAGAGGTTTCCCCGTCGCTATCATGAGAACCAACATCATGATCACTCGTTAAGAGATGATTCAAGTAGTTTCTCTTTAGTGTTAACTTATACCCGACAAAACCTTCGACGGAATTCGACTTTAGGAAACGGGGGATCGTTGCTTGACGTGCTGGGTGATGCGTGAGCCGATGTTCTTTTTAGTTGACTCATCTTTCGCAATCTCTTTTAATGTTTCCCTCTCAGACGGGTCTTTAAACCTATATGTAAATGCATACGTATCTATCTATCTATCTATCTATCTATCTATCTATCTATCTATCTATCTATTCCAGTATGTTCATATCTATGTTTAACTGTAGGAAGGAAAAGAGTTACTTACCTTTATCAATTTCAATATTTATTAAGCCTGGTTTAGATTGGCATAAGGGCGCAGGTATAGGGGAATCTTGTGAGACTCGAATTCACTGCTCTGTAGTGATATTCGACATCAATTAGCCCACCTCGAGACATTGAGAGATCTATCTATCTATCTATCTATCTATCTATCTATCTATCTATCTAGATCTCATCACCCCATTCTTTATCTATCTATCTATCTATCTATCTATCTATCTATCTATCTATCTATCTATCTATCTAAATCTCATCACTCCATTTTTATCTATCTATCTATCTATCTATCTATCTATTATGGGACCTTACCCATAATAACATAATGGACTATTCCATACGTAATAAATACTGCACCTCAAGAGGAAGCAGAGTGTTCAGTCTGAAGTCGGACGACCGGCTGACCGGCTGATCGGTTGAACTGTCTGCCTTTGGGCGGGGAGGAACCCGAACGAGGCTACGCCGAAGGGCGGAGTCTCTTTCGGGGAGGTAAACCGACCCTGAACCCGTTTATACGGGTTCAAAGGGCATATTTTTTGCCGAGCCCACGGGCTCGGAGATCCCACGTTAAACCGGCCTTGTGCCACATGATGCCCTCGTGGGGGTGACTAAATACTGTTCAGTCTGAAGTCTGGAGTCTGAAGTCTGGAGTCCGTCAGGAGTCTGAAGTCCGTCAGAGCGAGTCAGTCAGTCAGTCGAGTCAGAGGCAGTCCAGAAACAGAGTCGCGTTCAGACAATTACTACTAAACCTGATTGTTCGTACTAACACTTTTCTACTTCTCTGTATATATTCCTGTTTGTAATATATCTGTGTTATTCCATATCCGTATTCGAGTTCTTCTTTATTGGTTCTACCTTGGACTATCACCTTGGTATAAGGAACCAGACCATAACACTATCTCAGATTATTTCTCTGTATCTTAGATGGTTTCCATCTATCTATCTATCTATCTATCTATCTATTTCGGCATTTAAATATTTTCTATAAAATACGGTCTAAAATGAACTTTCTAAGAACTAAGAACTATAAAATCTACACACAATTACAAACAAGAATAAACACTAAAAAGAACAGTATAAAAAAAGCACATACATCAAACTTCCACGTACATCCATATTTCAGAAATGTTTTCGACTATTATTTATTAAAAAAATTAAAATCGCCAATCAATGGTGAAAAATAATTTTTCCTCTTAAATAAAATTAATTCAACACAGGCGATACCGCATAAGAAATGCAACTATGTTAAAAGTAATATTGACCTAGTTAGAATCTATCTATCTATCTATCTATCTATCTATCTATCTATCTATCTATCTGTCGGTCTGTCTATCTATCTCGAGATATATCTATTCAAGTACGTTCATATCTATCTATGTATGTCAGTCCGTTCATGCCAAGGTCTTTCTTTCTCCTCAGTCTTTTCATGAAATCTAGGCAAACACGAAAAAATATAATTACACATCAAATACATATATATATATATATATATATATATATATATATATATATATATATATATAAAAGCAATATATATATATATATATATATATATATATAATATATATAATATAAAGTATATATATATATATATATATATATATATGTTATATAATAATGTATTTTAAAATATTTAACGGCCAATATAAATCATTAAAAACGGCTATAGGTTTTCTTAAAAACTTTTTTATAAATCCGTTTTCCTTTGTTCCCATTAACTAATTTTCATTGTTTTTTTTCTCTTTAATTTTTTAAAAAAATTTAACATTATTGTCACACACACACACACACACATAATCTATCTCTCTATATATATTTCTATATTATCTCTCTCTATCTATATATATATATATATATATATATATATATATATATATAGCCTTGTTCAAGTATGTATACCCATTGAACCCAATTTATACACGCGTTTTTATTATTATAATTATTATAAGTTGATATATATATGTGTGTGTGTGTGATTATGCTTTGTTTGTATGTGCATGTGTCAAAATTTTAAAGCCTATATATATATATATATATATATGTGTGTGTGTGTGTGTTTGTGTGTGTGTGTGTGTGTGTGTGTGTGATATGTGTGTGATATATATCAATTGTACTTGAAAATGATTCTCAATAATTATTATATATATATATTTCTTTAAGTTGGTTTTTATAATTAAACTTAAAACTGTAATTAATCATTGAAGCCCCCATACGTAAATTAGTTAAAACGATATATATATATATATATATATAAATATATATATAAAAATGTTTGTGTATGTGTTTGTGTGTGAACTTTTATATTTGGGTATGTATATATATATATATATATATATGTGTGTGTGTGTTTGTGTGTATATATATTTGTGTGTGTGCGTATGTTTGTGGTTATCATGTATTTGATTTTATTTGTATTATATATATGTGTGTGAGTGTGTATATGTATGTGTGTGCATGTTTGTGGGTGTGTGTATTTATTTTTGGGTATGTATATATATGTGTGACATGTGTTATATATGTATGTGTGTATGCATTATTTAATTTAGTTTGTATTTATTTTTAAAATTTGTATATATATGTGTGAAAGTGTGTATATAAATGTGTTTGTGTTTGAGGGTGTGTATATTCATGTTTGGGTATGTATTTATATTTATTATTATATATTCGTGTATTTATTAATATTCTCTCTTCTCTATTCAAATTATATATATATATATATATATATATATATATTTATATATAAATATATATATATATATATAAAATATTTTATTAAATTTTTATTAGTTAATTAGACATAAATACAAGCATTAAGCAAATATAATAATCCTCAGGACCTCGCGACTCGTTCTTATCTGCCATCAATTTTAAGTGGCCTTTTCCTGGATTCTTACGGCTTTATGCCTCCCGTCTTTATCGATTGCCGCCATTGCAAAAAACAGACGACCAAATCCTCATGGACCCTTGACTTTATTACCAAACCACTTGGTTCTCTTAATTTTTTATTCTTTAATCATTTCTTCTTGTATTTTTAACTTGTTTTGCTTTAAAAAAGCAAAATGAGTGTCTGCCGTTAATTTTTTTTATAATTTATTTATTTTTTTTTGCTTTTCTCTTTATTGAATACCTAATTTCACAGCACATAATTTATGAGATTCTGGGCTGGTGTATGAATTTTGCTATATTTTCAGTTTTACTGTTCAGTAAGACGGTGCGTGCAAATGAAGAAGTCAAAAAATAATTTTACTCATAATTGCCTTTAGGGACACTTACGTCCGTGTTTGAATATGATTTATTAGCCTGATGCAAAAGTTTCCAGGATTTTGATGAGAAAAGAAATATTTTATTCATTAAAATTATGTCATCTTTATTCAGTCGTCAAAATATGTTCACTGGCTTTCTCTGACCCCTACACCTTCTTTAAGGTATTCTGTCATAAAAGGTTAATGCAAAAGTGTCAATGATTTATTTGAGAAAATCTTTTATTCATATAAATTCATTTTTATTTATTCATTCATTATTTATGATTTTCATTTTGATGGTCAAAGATAATTTTTTTCTGATTTCCTCCATTTTTTACTTTCTTCATGCTGATCTTTTGCTTTTCTCTCACGCACCGTTTATTTTGCTTTTGTTTTTTTTTTTGAATGTTCCTCCATCTTGCTTTTCTCTGATGATATAAAAATTATTCCATCATATTTTTCTGCTTTTCTCTCATGTTCAACATCCGTTTTCTCTAATCATCTTTTTTGTCAATATTTAATCTTTTCCGTCCTTCTTAAACTGATTTTTCTTTTTTTCTGCTAATCCTATTCGCCATATATTGAGATGTTTTAAATATAGTTTACCTCTGATGCCATTTTATCCGCTTTTCTCTAACTCTCCGACATCTTTCACGAATATATATTCCATATTTTTTCTATCTTTTCCTTTTCTATGTATATATCTTTTCTGCTTTTTGTATTTCCGATATTTTCTGCATTTCTTTTGCTATTTTCTATTTCCTCCGCCATCTTTTCAGCTTTTCTCTGACTCTCCGACATCTTTTTCCGCTTTTCTCTAATGCTCCGCCAATTTTCCATTTGATCTATGGCTGCTTTTCTGATGTCCGCCATCAAAATTCTATGGAGAGAAAAATTTTCTCTGATGTTCCGCCATCTTTCTTTTGACACTGTAAAATCTCCGCTTTTCTTTTCTGTTCCGCCATTTTTCTATTTTCTAATAAAATTTTTCGAATATTTGATTTCCGCTTTCTTCATTTCATTAACGATGCTCCTAACTCTTTTTTTTGTTCCGCCATCGGTTTCTGCTTTTCTTATCTGCTCCGCCATCTTTTTTGTTTTTCTCTTTTCCGACATCTTTTTTCCGCTATGCTCTAATGAGAGAAATCTTTTTCAGTTACAAAGTGAAAAAAATATCTATTTCTCGCTTTTTCTTTGTGCCAATCTTTTATTCCTTTTTTTTTGATGATGCTCCGTTAAACATTCTTTTCTTTTTCCTTTTCTCTCCGATAATGCAAATTTAAATTTGCTTTGAATTCCGAAGAAAGAATAAATGAAGACAAAATTTTTGGGAATTACCTTTTCTTTTTCTCTGATGTTCCGAAGAATTTTGCTACTTTTCTCTGATGCTCCATCTTTTTTTGCTTTTTGTTGCCATCTTTTCTTCTTTGATGTTTCTTATATTTTCTAAGTTTGGATGTTCCGCCTTTTCTATTTTCTCGTACTTTTTTTTCTGATGCTCCGCCAAAATTTTCTTTTTTTTCTCTGATGTTCCGCCATCTTCTTTGCTTTTCTGTAATTCTCCGCCATCTTTTCTGCATTTCTCTGATGCTCCGCCATCCTTTCTTCTTTTCTCTAATCCTCCGCCATCTTTTCCGCTTTTCTCTGACTCTCCGACATCTTTTTCCGCTTTTCTCTAATGCTCCGCCATCTTTTCTACTTTTCTCTGTGATGTTCCGCCATCTTGATATCAAAGTTTGCAGGATAAGTAATCAGTTTCTCTTTGATCTGCCATTCTTCAGTTAAAACCTCTATTCAATCATAAAAGAATCATTTTAGCTATCCTAGAATTTTTCAAGAATTTTCTATGACCTTGCAATATTTTCAAAATATATATCCACTAATTCATATATAAAATATAACAGCATAATGAAAAATACCCCAACTTGATAAAAACAAAGTTTTATCGTCGAAATATTTATGTTATTATTAAGTGGAGTTTTTCTTTTTAGTTTATTAAAAGTATTTTCTACTAGTTTATCAACATTTTTAATCCTTTCAAGCATGTTCAAAAGTTTGATTCAAAATCTTGTTTTTCTTACGTC